ATATATATATATATATATATATTAGATAGGCATATACATATAGATATATATGGGCTTATATGATTTTAAATGCATATACATATGTAATATAAATTATAGTTAGGAATAGGTAGAAAATAGATATATCTACCTATCTGTACCGGATAGATACCGATAGTATTAATAGATGTACCTATACATATTTCCAATTAAAAATGCAGAAACAGGGGATCGCGCGTATATTAAAAATGGAGTATACAGTGAGACTGAGGTATCTGTACATACGAGAGGGGCGGCTTGGCAGGTGGCAGCTACACGATACAACAAATGCAAGCCACACAGAACAACAAGCTGCAAATGCGGTGCAGTGAAAGAGTCTTCGAAGCAACATACACACAATAAATAGAACGGAAATAACAGGCAACTGACAAAAAAAAGGAGCAAGTGCCACGAGCAGCGGCAACGGGAATCATTAACACACACACTGTACATATATATCACACGCAGCACATCACTACAACGCTAAAATTCGAAACAGTTCCCTCCTGTCCCCTCAGTCTTTCCTTCTTTTTTGCTTTCTTCAAAACTGCCTATGCATCCTGGAGGCTGCTGCTGTGTCTCCTGATCAGGCAATCTACGAAAGACACGAACAGTAGCAAAGAAAAATAACAAAATAGTAACCCTTCAACGCATGCAGTGCCATTTCCCCTTCATATTGTCAACTAGTCCCCAGGGATCTCAGGTTTCTCCTTTTCTGTCTCTGTATGTGCTGGCACATACACAGGCCACTCAGCAAATGACAATATGTGTAATATTGGTGTTTGTTTTGGTGGTTGTTGACTGACTGCTCTTTTTCTGGAAGAGATTCTTTGCGTTTGCTACTGGTCGTTTTGTTCTGTGGTCGATGGTTTGTTTGGTTGTTCTTCTGCTGCGTTGTCCTTGATTTGTGAATCCGTTGCTTGGGCTTCAGTGTCTTCTGTCTCCTTTGGAATGTCCCCAGGGTGGGGGGCAGCAGCTGTCTCTTCCTCTTCTTTCTTTTCTTCTTCTGCTTTTTTGCAGAGCTTGCGGCTCTCTTCTTCGGCCTTCAACACAAACTCTTTCGTCGCCTCTGCCTGTTGGTCGTCAGCAGCCTGGATGTCTGCTGCGGCAGAGCTACTGGCTTCCTTGTTGCTCTCTTCGGCTGCTGGTGCCTTGTCTTCATCTCGCGAAGCTGGAGCAGCAGCTGGCGCGGTAACATCAGCAGGACCATCAGCTGCGGGAGCAGCAGAAGTGGTTTTCTTGGCGTCTACCGGAACGGCCGCTGCAGCTGCAGCTTCTTCCTTCGTTGCTGCTGCACTCTCTGCCGCTTCTGCTTGCTCTGATCTCAGCAGCAGCAAACGTAAACCCTCAGCAAATTGCTGCAGAGTAGCCAACTTGGAGTCCACCGTGCTGGAATTTGAAGGCTGTCGGGGCAGCTGGCTGTTATCCTCGAGGACTTTGTCTGTTAACAGAAGGCCTCCTGCTTCTCTGAAGGGAGGAAACGCAGAACCAGGACAGAGGCACAAACCATGCATGCGGCAGACGGACGTAGAGGGTGCAACGGCAGCACAGTCATGCGCTGTCTACACCCGAAGGAGGGAGGCAGCAATATTCATGCGGAAAAGCAAGTGCGGCCTTACAGTAGCAGGCAAAGTGAACACAACGGGAACAGGGATAACCACAGGAGCAGCAAACATAGCACCAGCAGAGGCAGCATCAGCAGTCCAACAAGCCAACACAACAACACATGCGTGCATGCGGGCAAGCACGCAACCCCTCCAGCGACTGTTGAAACAGTTGTTCTCAAGGGTTGATTTGGCGTTTAGCGTATGCACCCAGCCCCACCTAACGCGCTTCGCTGCAAGAGGACAGTAGCTGCATGCAAGACCTAGAGCAAAGAGCCCTTGGAACAAAACATCGACACGAGACAGGGACTCTTCTTCTAACAACCAAGACACACACTTGGCCCATGCCTGAGTCGCAGGCAGCAAACACCCCGCACAAATATACACCCTAAGCCCTATCCCTACAAGCTAAACCCTAAATGCTGGCGAGAGTGCAAGTACCCGTGTACCCGTGCAGCTGCTGTTGCTGCCGTTGCTGTTGCATATAGCAGCATTATGCAGCAGCAGCAGCGGTAGGACGCAGCAGTAGAAGCGGCAGGGAGCAGCAGGATCCATAGTTTTCTTACGTCTGGTCTTTGTTTGCTGAAGAGCTGGCTGTTCGCAGGTTGTTTACGTTGGTAGTTTGCAAGGACTGCGAGGCCGTTTTCAAGGACGAGAGGGTCTGTGTGGTGGAGTTCCATGCGGTCGAAGGCGACGGGGAGTAGCATCTTGGAGTGTACATACGTTTCGGCCACGGAAGGCACAGCTAAAGGGATGAATCGCAGCGACCCCAAGCCCCAGCAGACAAAACCATTCTCCTTAAACACCGCCTCCGAGGACCCCAGGGCTTCTATCGCCAACTCAGGGACTCCTAGACTGGCCCACCGCTGAAAGAAAAAGCAGGTACAACGTTCAACGTTCACTTATATATATATTTTCTACGAGTACACATGAAGAAATCAACACGCAGACGCCTAACGGAACACGCTAAGCCCTGCTGCGTGTTGCTGCTGCGGCATGCTGTCCGCAACAGTAAACCCTACACACTAAGCGCCAAACCCGTTTTACCTGTGCGAACTCGTCTCCGTCGAGGCTGGTTGCAAACACGAGTCTCCACACGAGGGTCATAAACTCCACGAGGAGTTTCAGTTCTCTCATGGCACTGTCCAGCTGCTCCTGTGTTACCTGTGTCGTGTCAGTGGAGGTGCCCAGCTTCTGCTGCAGCTGCTGCTGAAGCTTCGAACACGCGCGCCTGAAAGCTGCTATTTGCCCGTTGCTTTGGGGCTTGGTAGAAGGTTCAGGAGAGGCATTGGCTGCTGCTGGGGGAGACGCTACTCCTGCTGGTTGTGTATCATCCACTGCTGCTGCAGCTTCTGCAGCTTCTGCTGCTTCTGCTGTTGCTGTTGGGTTCGCTACCGCAGGGGATGATGTGCTTTGCTCTTGAGGCGTGGGCGTGTCTTCTGCTGCATCTGCAGATTGATTAGCTTCTTTGTGAGATGAATCGACGGCTTCTGCTACTGCTGCTGCACCTTTCAGGATCGGCTGTTGTTGCGGAGTTGTAGGGCCCCCTTGGAAGTTTGAATTGGTGCCTGAGACGCCTGCGGGTGTCGGTGCTGGAGTTGGGGGTTCAGGTATATCCTCCCACCGCTGAAGCCCCTCGTGCTGCTGATGCTGTTGCTGCTGGTCGTCGGCTGCTGCTGCTGCCGCTTCTTCAGGGACAACATGCATCTGCGGAATGTCTCGTAGCAACCTTTTGGCCTTGGAAAAATATTTCTTTAGCACTCTCGCGGTGATGTCGATGCCCTGCGGCGCAGTGAGGTATACGTACACCCGGAGAAGCATCAGCACCATAGAGGGGTTTCCCCTCCTCAGTGCACAGAACCCCACCACTTCAAATCGCCTACGATTTAGGGTTTAGGATGTGGCAAGAAAGCAGAAAGAAGTGTTCAGCTACAGTGCTACAGATGCCAGAGAGAGGTCTGAAAACCTCCTGTCGCGTTCTAGACGATCGGTTTGGACTTTGAAGATTTAACAGGCCGGCTGTGCACCAGGGTTTGCTACTTCTGGCATCCCAGCTTTTCTAGTAGGGTGCAGGAATTAGGGTTTCAGTACTCCGAGTTCAAGAAGTCTTTCAGACGCTTCTTTTGCCATGCAGAGGTGGACAATGACTGCTAGAGACGACACACAAAGCTGAACCTCCTCGGGGGACTGGCTGAGTGGACGGAGGCAGATCTCGAGGGCCTTCGCCTCCAGCAGGATGCTGCGGGTCTGCTAGCGCAGGAGAAAGACAAAAAGGCATAGGAACTTATGTTAGATAGCTATCTAAGGTGTTTCTGAGACAACCCCCCAGAGAACAAACACAAGCAACAACGAGACACAAACCGACACTGTCGGCCCTACTTGGAAATGTGCTACAAAGACAAACAAATAGATGCGAAGAGACAGAAGAAGAGACATCACAAAAAACCAGAGGTTTAACCCACCCACAACACACACAAAACACATAGAGACAGAGGTGCCAGATAGCTACAGAGGGAGGAGGCACAAAACCAAACAGAGATAAAGACGAACAAAGGCATCAACGGGTAGAAAAATATACATCGGACAGAAAAAGGAACAAAGGAAACAGACGAAAAAAGCAACAGAGGGGGACAGAAAGAACACTCCCAAGAATATCTGCTGATGTAAACGCAGAAGGGCAGCAGCAGCAGACGGAACGATGATGATGAGTTCTATTATGAAGTTTATATAAGACTGACAGGTTGCTGCCTTTCTACAGGATCAAGAGTAACAAGGAGAACCTCCAGGTCATGCAACCACTGCATCGTTTGCTGCGGCGACGCTGCAGCATTGATCTTCATGAGGATCCAGAGTGCCTTGAGCTGCTGGGGAGATGGGGAGTCTTTGTTGATCAATTCCGTGTGGAGTTCTTTAGTGTCTCTGTGGTTACTTGTTTCTTCTGCCTTTCTGTCGCCTGCTGCAGCAGCCTCCACGACCGTGTGTAGGTGGCCACTTACGGCCTGGCTTTTGGTTTCTGCGACGTCGAGACAGGCTGCGTTATCTGCTTCTTTAATTGCGTCCGAAGCGATGAAGTGGGGGCCGCCTGGGGCCTCAAGGGCCTCTGCATCTCGAGGGGATGCACCAGGAGTTGCAGTGCGGGGAGTCATTGCTGCCTTGAGGGAAGAAGCACCCCGCTTCAGCTTGTCGTAGCCGCTTGCAAGAGACGCGCGAGGAGAAGAGAAATTCTTGAAATCCGGCTTGAGAGAGACGAGACGCAGACGCAATCCTGGGCCCTTGCTGGCGCTGCAGCTGTTGGTGCAGCTGCTGTCGCCAGCCGGCGCAGCGCCTACGGGTATCTCTGCTGCGTGCTCAACAGCAGCAGCAGCAGCAAAGGAGTCATTTTCAGCTCTCCCTGCAGCCGCGTCTGTAGGCAGCGAGGCAACAGCGTGAGCTGCATTAGCACCAGCGTTAGAGCTGTCTCGGGCATGAGGCCCGAGGGTCGAAGGCTTGCACCCCATGGCTATGGAGACGCAGAGAGGAGGAGTTCAGTCTATGGATGTGCAACAAAGTATTTGGCTTGCAGTTATAGTAAAGGGAATACAGAAAAAGAAAGGGCAAAGGCGATTGGGTGGTGCTGGGGTGTACGTGGAAGGACAGCTGGGCGCTGCAGACGGCGGAGCGAGGTAACGAACAGAGAGACAGAAAAAGTTCGTGCTTATTTGCGGGTGAATTCAGGTTAACAAAGCAAATATACCCATGGGTTCGTGTTCGTTTTATGCTAGGAAACACAATGAATGCCGTAGAGAGCATAGGCTGCTGATGTGTATCGACAGCTGGCTCGCCGCCACAGGCCACTGGACAGCGGGGTGGTGTCAGCGCAGTTACTGGCCCCGCACACTCCGGCAATCTTAGACAAGAACCCGCACCTTCTAAACCTTTTTTTGTGTATATACCCAGGCAAATAACTTTAAATCACTTAGAAATCCTATACGGCAAATCCAGTAGACTCGGGAAGAAACGCACCGCCGCACCGCCGCCGACGGTTACCGATGCGCCCAAAATGGACCAGCAACCCGAGCTGCGTCTATCGTCGCCTGTCCTGGGTTTTCCCCCTTAAAATAGTTCAATTAAAAATGTGCACATTAAGTATAAAGCGATTTCTTGGGATGTTGTTCCTTAGCATCTTCACTCGCCCAGGGCAACCACTTGCTGGAGGCCAGGTGCGGAGCTGCCGTGCTAGGTTTCTACAAAGCGAGAGAAAGTTATTTTGCTTTTTTGCGTTTGGTTTAAATGTAAACAGAACTTAGTAGGCGCCTATGAGGCATTGTTAGCCCCAGGCTGCCCACAGACAGGCAGGCTAGCTGCGAGCACCTACATCTTCTCGGTGTGGTGTTGCTTCTACTACAGAATACCAAGTGTACGTACAGCTGAGGGCTTCTTTGACAATCGAAAGCACACTAGAATTGTTTTGTGGAAGATTTAAGCAGGCTATTAGAGGGGGTCGCGGCCTTCGTGAGACGGAGTCGCTGTCTTAGTGCAATTACCAGCACTTGCTGTGGCCGCTACTTATGATTGCTACAAAACCACATATGCTTCTCGTTTTCTTGCTACCGAACCTTCTTACAACCGTACTATATGTGTTGCTATCGTCGCTGTTACTGATGGTGTTCTCATGAGCTCCCTTCACGTGTCCTGTGCTACCGCAGCTGTTCTTGCTGTAATGGGTGGGGTGGGCATCACATCTCTTTTGTAGTTGCCTGCTGCTACTATTGCTGCTGTTTCTACTGCTGTTGCTGTTGCTTCAGAAATGGCCTCGTCTTGGTGGCGTCAGCAGCGTCTGAGACAGGACTTGGGAAAGTGTTCCTGTTTGGAATTGGCTCTCGTGGCTTTATTTTTTTGTCCCCCTTTTCCTGCTTTCTTCTGTCCTTCTACATTTTATTGAATTCTGTTCGTCTTTCTGGACCTCACCGACTTTGCTTCATCGTCGTTCCAGTTGTCGCCCTGCGTAACGTATCCCACAGCATCCACCCATTCATAGCAAGTAATGCGCTGCTCTGTGCACAAGTAACTACACTACAGACAGTCTGCATTTCCGGTGGGATATTTGAATATATAGGTTAGGGGCACATAAAGGGCATAATGGGCGGGTCTTGTTGACGCATTTGCATGAGCCAACGAAATATACCAGATGTCACATTTTGTGGCACGTGTTTCCTCATACGGAGATGCATTTTCTTGACTGCCTCTGTCACGCTACTTACTGTGCTGGCGTGCATCTGCGCCCTTTGTACAGCAGCGGACCTCAACTACACTGATTGCAAGAAGAGAGGAAAAGGCATGCTCCAGTGTCTCGGTTTGAACCGAAATGCGGCTGCATCTGCAGCGATAAAACCATTAGTGAGCAAAGACATCTTGAAGCAATGAGATATGTACCACATTAGCTGTTCTATAAATAAAAATAGAATATGACGATCATTGCAAACCAATAAAAGAGGCAAAGGAAGAAGGAAAACGCTGACGAGGAGACCGGTACCGGCAGGGATCGAACCTGCGACCTTGTGGTTAACAGCCACACGCTCTAACCTGCTGAGCTACGGAACCGTTGAAATACTTGTTGATCTTGTTGGCGCATGCAAATACATCAACAAGGCCCGCCCAATATGCAGACAGTTATCTAATTCTTTCTTGTGGGTTGAGCATCATATGGAGCATTCAGTCTCTAGGAACCTGCCGTAAGTGTATGCTTGGATTCACGCCGGCGTTTGCACGCATGCATGAGACCAACGCTTTGGCGGTTCTTATACACATAACAGCCCAGCAGGAAGCGAAAGTTCCCTTCAACCTCGTTGTTTCCATCTGCAGTGCTTTGCCTAGAGAGTAGCACTGCGAACATAACTCTGGTCACAATGCATGCAAAGATCTATCTACATCCACCTTAGATTTTGCCGCCGTTGCGTCTGGGGTTGTTTGCTGGTTTTGCCTTTATGCACAGCGAGAAAAATCTCCATAAGCAAGTGGCAAGCGCCATTGAGACAATAAACAAAGACGCCGGATTTGCATTTGTCTTCTGTAACCGTAGAGTAGCAATCGAAGAAACCCAGGAATAAGTACAATTTTACGATAGACTAGAGCGTATTAATGGTGCCTTCACCGCTAAGCAACCGTAGCTATTGGATTCACTTGTCCGTCCGTCTACCTTATGAACGCAGCTGCTAATCTCATCAGGACACTGGGCGAGATGCATATCCTGTGACATGTGGTTCCGTAGCTCAGCAGGTTAGAGCGTGTGGCTGTTAACCACAAGGTCGCAGGTTCGATCCCTGCCGGTACCGTTTGCATTAAATAGTCGTTTTACTTCTGTAAAGCTCAGATACAGTATTTACATGTACACACGTGGACAGTATTTACTGATAGATAATGCTGCCTCATATGAGCAAATTGCTCAAGGCTATGAATAGTCCCTTCTAAGAAAGGATGCAATGCATGCAAGAAGACAGCTCGGAGACATTATTACTGGCAAGTGGCCTTTTAGAGCAGAAGAAAACAAACCCTCGGTACCGGCAGGGTTCGAACCTGCGACCTTGTGGTTAACAGCCACACGCTCTAACCTGCTGAGCTACGGAACCGCCGCTCCATGGGAAATTGTAGTAGAGATAACAATAATAACCATAAAAACAATAACAACAAGGGCGACGACAATAAATCATACTAATAGTAATTTAATAATTACTATTAGTATTATTTATTGTTACTAATTGTTATTTATTATTACTATTATTGACAGTAGTATTAATGGGGGGAACAAAGGTACTAGCATAATAATACTAGTAGTAATAATAATAGTAGGAAATACTCCTGCCCAGATGTACCTCATAAACAGACAGTAGACCATTAAAACAAAGAATTAACTGCAAACACAGCGCAGTATTCGCTACTCTTTTGTCACCCGTTTGCCTTTATTGGTTTTAGTAGCACTTTTCACTAGCGGTGGGCTTTGCACTATTTTGTGGCAATTTCTGTCTTTTTCTCCAGAGCGCAGCTCCTTTTCAGTTAGTAGTTGTCTGCATGTGCGGACTATTATCACCCCACCTCTACTCTTGACAGCTTGGTGTGTCTCTCAATGGCCATGAGCACAAACTGACCCCCCGCATAATCAGAAGCAAATTTTTAACGGGCCTCTTCCAACAGCCCACAAACCAGAATCTACTGATACACAGAAAAAGCAAACGGTTGAACTTCTAAAGCCCAGAACCAAGTGTGGGATCCCCACAGGCCCCCACAGCCCCCTTGGGGGTCCCCAGCTGGAGAACTCTGCCATTGCAGTATACTGCATCTGCCGCAGCAAATAACTCCAGCAGCAACTCACATGCAGCAGCAGAATGCAACATCCCTCGAGGGGGCCCTTTCTGTCCCTCGCGATACCCTCGCTGTCTCCGTCGGGCTCGCCAAGTACTGTAGCTCTCATCCACCAGCAGCACCGGAACGGCTGCTGCTGTTTTTGGTCCGCGTTCTAGTTTCCGAGCCAAAGCGAGGTGGCGGGACACCCGACGGGTTTGGAAGCTGCGGAGGAAAAAACAACAGCCGACGCAGCAGTAGGAGCAGCGCCATCCACACCGGTCTACGAGGGAGCCCTAGCAACAGCTGCACCAGCATCTGCATGCTCTGCAGAATCAGCACCCACAAATACAGCCACACAAAATAGAGTTGAGCAGAAGAAAATCAAATATACCGCAAGTGTGGAGGGAGACAGGGGTTTAGAGGCAACCCCAGGACCAGCAGATCTGCAGGCTGTAGCAGCTCCTGCTTCTGTTGGTGCAGTTGGGGCAGAAACGAAGCAAAATCCACTTCATGAGCCACAACCTTTAGGGGGGAAACAGTAAACATGCTTGAGTAGTCGGAGTCCAAGAGGAGGGCTTCTTGTGCTGCTGCAGTTTCATGCTGTTGCAGCAACTGCTGCCCCTGCAGCGGGAAGCGTAGTGCTGCTGTTGCAGCGCCCCCGTGCTGAAACCGGTGCTTCCGCACTGCAGCAGCTAAGCCTGTCTTTCTTGCACCCAGATCAACAGACAGAATGGTGTTACACTGCAGTAGCAAAGAACGGACATCCGAGCTGTCTAATGCATACAGTTGTTGTTGCCGCTGCCGCTGCTGCTCTACCTGTATCCTTCCACCCTGACCCTCATAGTGGGGGTCATGTGGCCAACCCTGAAGCTTCTCGTGCTGCTGCTGCTGAGTTGAAGAAGCTGGGTTGAACCACTCCACCACTGGCGGGGCACTTCTTGGACCGCGGGAGGCGCAGAAAGCCACAGTTGCAGGTGCTGTAGTTCCTGTTGATGCTTTTGCCGTTGCTGCTGTGACTCTGGGAACAGACAAGCGGAAGCAGTAGCAGAAGCAGCAACACACCCAAATAGCCGCCCCTAGGAGCCACCACAGGCAGCAAACACGCATCTGGGCACAGGCATCTTTTGGCTGCACAGCCACATGCCCGCTCCAGATTACTTCCCTATTATGTTGCTGATGATGCTATAGTGGCATGCTAGTTGTTTTGCTGCTGGCGCTGGAGCAGCCTGCCAGCTGGTCTGCTGTTGCTCCGTCTCCTCCAGTAACGTTCTTCCGTGGAGTTGTGCGGATACTGCCGTCACCGCCGCCGGACCGCCACTAGTGCTGGGGGTTTGAATTTCGGTCCATTTAAGGCAATATAAAAAACATATAAACTTCACTGGTTCTCTTCCTGCGAAGTGTCTTGTGCCGAGTGTGGAGCAGCGAGTTGCTGCAGCCTCAGCCACTGCAGCAGCGCCTCCGTGTTGGGCTGAAGCCAATTTTAAGCAACAATTTTAATTGGGAGGCAACCTTGAAAGCAATAAATAATGCATTCTAAGGTGAGCATCAGCTCCTGTATGCAGCAGCGCAAAACTGGAGGGCATTCTGGGGGGCCCCTTGACTCGATCACTTCTGTCTGGAGCCCTTCTTTACACTTCGGGGCCCCCTTTCTATTTTTTTGGTTTTCTTTTATTCTGTCAATTCAGCAAGGGACCTGTCAGCTGTAAAGCTGTCACGATAACGAAACGCGCTGCGTCCCACTGATAAGGCACACGCGTTCTGCTTTATGAAAGAGTCTCAGGGAGCCCCTGGCGATACAAAGGCCATCTGCTGCAGCAGCGGCAGCAGCAGCAGCAGATGCAGCTGCTGCAGCAAGGAGGCTTCCCTGAACGACACGATGAGCAGCAGCAGCTGCGGCATATTCACTGGCAGCGTAAAGTGATTTCAAGAGGAGCAACCCCAGGACAGAGGGGAGGGTGAGGGGACAAGTCCCGTCTTTTGCAGCGCTGGGTCTGGGACCCGTTTCATCCTCCGAACGCTTACCCTGTAACACCACGCGTTTCTTGCCCCCGTTGCTGCATCTCTCCACAGGGAAACGTCTCCTTTTGTCCTGTTGAACTCGTTTCTCATGGCTTCTGACCCGAGCGCCGCTTGTTTGGGGCCCCCCTTCATTTCGGAGCGAAGGTCTCCCAGTGATGAAGAGCCGGCCAGGAGACTCCCGAGCCCTCCCCTGCCACGTTTTGTGGTCAGGCCGCCTTTGAGAGGCGAAATGCTGAATCCTTTTGGCCGCTCGCGGCAGCTCAAGGAGTACCTGTTTCTCAGGTCTTTTCCAAAGGCAAGAAAGACTGCAGCAGATATTGAAACTAGGGCCCTCAAAGGTCTACAATTGCAGATGGGGGGGGGGCCTAGGGAAACCACAGGAAACAGCGCAGGCGGGGGCCCTGGCCACAGCTCAGAGGGGCCGTTTGAGAGCTCAGATGCACCGGAAGGGAACCAACAGCCAGAGGATGCATCAGGTAGGAACAACGGTGCTGCTGCATGTGCTTCACCTACAGCGCCCGCACGTCTAATACCACGAAAGGCATCAGCGGCACCAGCAGAAATTGCATCAGCAGAATCTGCAACCGCAGAACCTGCAGCAGCAGCACCTGCAGGAGCATCACCTGTAGCAGCAGCACCTGTGGAAGCATCACCTTCAGCAGCATCACTTGCAACAGCAGCACCTGCAGCAGCAGCTCGCCGCATGACCCTTTCCGAGGCAGCAGCATCAGTGGGGCGTCAGTTGCCTCTTCGAAGCAGTACTCTCCAGCAGCAGCATCCACTAGGGTTGCAGTCGCTGCCAACCCAAAGAGTAAACCAGCTAGATGCAGTACGAGTTAACAACGAGATTGTGCTGCTGCTGCAGGACATGCTGCTGCAGTGTACGAGGGCTGCTGCTCCGTGGCTGCAGCAGTGGCAGCAGGAACTGCAGCTGCTGTTGCACTCCTTCTTATGGGCTGTGTCGACAGCACGGGACAAACCCACTCCAGGAGATTTGCTGCAGAATGTTAAGTACTACGGTGGCGAGCAACTGCACCAGCAGCAGTTGGAGCAGCAGCAGCAGCGGTTCCAGGCGTTGCAGCAAGACCCAACTGCAGTTCCTGCTGCGGTGCAGCAACAGCAGCGTGTGCTGCTCCACTTGATGCTAAAGCAGCAGCATTCTCTAATGCAGCGGCAGCCTCTGGCCTGGAAACACAAGTTGGGACTGCTGCTTTTGCATGTGCTGCTACCATATTTCTATCAGCTCTTGCGGCAGCAGCTGCACCGCAAGAGGCAGCAACAGCAAGCAGCGATTGAGCAGCGGATACGCCGTTACAACGTTGCTCAGGCGCTTCGGAGGCAGCGCATGCAGCAGCAAGAGCAGCAGCAGCAGCAGCATGGGGAAGAAGCGACGGAAAAGGAGCAGCGGGAGCTGTGCCATCAGCTGCAGCAGCGCCAGAAGCAGCAAAACCTCCGTTGGCCAGACGCTGCTGTGGGGAATGCGGTGACACGTTTGACCGCAGCTGAGCGCTCTTTGGAGTGGGTCTACAGGTGTTTTATGTGCATTGACCTGCTGCTTTCTTTGATTCGTTTTGTCTTCTTTTTCTATTTTCTCTACAGAGGCAAACACCGCAGCGTGGGGGACTGGTTGTTGGGGCTGGAGATGCGACACATCCATCCCTCCCTGCGCCGATCACTGTCTTTTGAGTTGCTTCAGCAGCAGCTCTACTGGCTTAGTGTCTCTCAGGTGCTGCTACTGCTTGCTCCCCACATCGACCTTCTGCTGCTGCGGCGCACGCTGCGGCTGCGGCTGCTCACTCCCGCTCGCAGAGCAGCAGTCGCCTCTCTTCAACAATTCAGACTCTTTTTGCGGAGGCAGCGTCATCAGCAACTCCAGCAATATGGTACCGCAATAGAGGAAAAAGGGCTCGCTGCCGCTGTTGCTGCGCTGCCCTTCGAATTAGGGCAGTGGGGTTTGTTGCTCCTGCGAAGCACAAAGCAGCAGGGGACGAAACTCCTCCAGGACGTGGGTCTGCTGCCTCATCCCCTTGTGACAAAGCAACAGCAGCAGCCGGGAGTGGAGTCAGGGGAAGGGCGACTTGCGGTAGAGGTGAGCAGCAGTAGCTACAGTGCTGGTTATTTTTCATTTCTAGCTTCTTTCCTCTCGGACTTTTTGACTGTATGATTGTATGTCTCCGTCTCCTTGTTTCATTGTCACTATCTTTCTGTCCCTTCCTTGTCCGTGTCTTCTTTGTGCTTCTGAGCTTTGCTGCTATGGGGTTCAGCTGGTGCCTTGTGTTTTCTGCAGCAGCTGCTGCAGAGTGGCTACATCCAGGTGCCTGTCGTCTGTTTGTTCGTCTTTTGCAGCAGTCACGATTAAAGCCACCAACAGGAGAGAAACTACCAGAATCAGCAGAGGAACAGCACTCTTCAGCAGCTGCTCTGCACATACCTCCTTCCCCACCACCCGCCACATCCGAAACGCAACGAAAACAACAGAAGGAACAAAACAACCGGAAACAGCAACAAAAAAAACGCGACCAGGAACTACAGCAACAAGAACAACAACAGCACCAATTGTGTGTGTTTTGCAGCAAGGAACCGCTGCTGCCTTTCCGCAGCAGGGCTTGTCCCCACATATTTTGTTACTGGTGCGTCGCGTCGCACCCGGAACACCGCCCAGGTCCCTGGGAGCCCCTTGAGGGGGACGAAGGAGAAGTGCAGCTGCGGTGCCCCCAATGTGCGGCGGTAATAGGATCGCTTCTGTGGGGGGTGTGATACAGTGCTGCCTTTTGCAGCTTCAGTTGAAGGAAGGGAACGAAAAGCAGCAGCAACAACAGCACCAGCAACGACAACAGCAAAAAACAACAGCCTAAGCAGCAGCATCACGCGTGTATTCTGCAGCAAGAGATCGAGCAAGAAAACAAAGAGAGAGCGCTGTCTTCAGCAAGTGGTCCGGTGGGGGTCTGCCTACTCGCGCCTCGGTTTGGTGCCTCTCTGCTGCAGCAAACGTCAGCCAAAGAACTAAAAAGAAGCAGACGCCAAATGCCCTTCCTACACAAAGGACAAAATGAGACGGATAGACGGTACCTCCATCTGCAGAGGCGTCGAAAAGGAGGCAGACAGCGCGATTTGCCTGTCTGGTCGCGTTGAGGGGCCCCCAGCAAACCCTTCCGCCCAGCTTTGCCCCAAAAAAAAACTCTGAAAAATGGATTTTTCATTTTGCTTTTCTATTTTATCACATGTGGTTTGTTCTGTTTAGCTTCTTGAGTGTTTTGTGTTTTGTTCTGCTGGTTTTGGTGTGGTGGCTACTGCTCATTGAGCATTCCTTGTTGCTGCTTGGCAAACCACAGCAGGTTGCGATCCTTCGAAAGCAGAGCAAACAGCGCAGAGAGAGAAAGAGAGTGAGCAAAGATACTTAACAGAGTGGAAGGCACGCAGAAAAGACTACGCATCGTCCCTGAACTTCAAGGGCGGACGACATGAAGAACACGAGTGCAGGCAGCTAGCTGAGAAAGAAAGAGTAGCGACAGTAGTGAAGTGTCTCGCTACATAGAAGGCCGCTGCACATGGTGTAGCAGCAACGCAGCAGCAGATGCTCTCGTCCTACTGCTGTTTATTTGCCTGTTCAACAGCTGCCGAGAGCAGACCGCCTCGCGTCTCACCTCTTCAGGCAAAACAACATTGGATAAGTTGGAGTGGAGGGAGGACCTGACTGAAGGCGGCATGAGATAGTGCGATGGGGTGTGCATCATCGCCGCTGTTTCTCCCGTCTGCTTTCCTGAGCAGGAGTTCGACAGCATTGCGCTGCTGGTGGAACCCAAAGACACTCGGCTAAGGGCTTCAGGAGCAACGGAGCTGCTGCTGCCGCTGCTGCTGATTGTCACGATGGGGCGCAGTGGCACGCCGTGGCTGTCGTTGCTTTCTCCCGAGCGCCCGTGCTGCATCACCCCCTACAAGCAAACGCAGGCCGCACGATGGGGCTCATAAGTGCAAAAGCACACGATGAACAGCCATGGAGTGGACAGAACAGAAGGATATATCGAAAAGCTGCGACACACACTACGTGCATATGTATTTATGTATATATTGTTCGACATGTCTCTGTCTTCTTGTACACAGAATTTTTGCGTGCGAATTTGTGACCAAATCTGCATGACCCTTGGCTTCTACGGAAAAGCAGCGTAGCGGCAGCAAAGGAAGGAAGCAGAAACAGTAGGGGTGACTGACTTCTGTGCTGCGGCGGGGGAAGTGCAAGTTGGGGGGCAGCGTGTAGGCGCCTGCGACGGAGGTGCTGCCAATGGTGAGTTCTCCGTAGGCGTCGCCTAAGGCAGTGTCTGAGGCTGTTGAACGCGTGCGTCGGAAGCGCTGGTATACAGGTCTGAAGCGGCGTCGCCCCGCCGTCCTTCCCAGAGAAGAAATGGGAAACATTCCCATCGCAAACGTCACCCGCTTGGACAGACGCTGCTCCACGAGGTCTTGCGTCGCCTGGTGCAACACGCATACGCAAGTACGCACAGACACAATATGCTTATTTAGGCATGCATGACCACATATACGGGCGAAAGTGCTGCAACGTAAGTGACGCTTTGAGCTTTTGACCTTTGCATGCATGCCCGGAAGCATGGAAGCTAGTCGGGTGGCATGCTTCCTAGCTAGCAGACGGGCGCTACCCACTGCCAGTAAACGGCTTGCTTACCAGATCCGCCTCTTCGTCGTCGATTTCTGGAACTTGCTGGTCGACGTATTTGCGTCTGCAAGCACACCAGAACACGTGGGGACAGTACCATCGCTGCAGAAGGCGGAGCAGCTTTCAAGCATCTCATGCAGCTGGTCAGCAGCGCTCCGTGTTTGTCTCAACACTCTGGCCATGCAGCCTGCACGGTCTGGCTTTGCTGTAGTTGGCTCTGCAGCATATGACGCATTTTTAAATTGATCGACGCCTCATGTGTTGTTTCTCAGGAGGGTGGATGATGCGTAGGGAGTTGCTGGTGTGGCGGACGGACAAGTTTCGCATCTCTTGCACCGCTAAAAGGATGATGCAAATGGCTGTCAGCCCGAAACCCAGCCCAAAGAGAACGAGAGCTCCAGCGCTGAAGCCCTGCACCTCGTGGAACTTGGCGAACCCTAGAGAGAACATCCAAAACACACGGGGCACAAAACAACCAGGTGACTGCCGGCATAGACTCTTGAAGACGCCTATTATAAGAGGGTCAGGTAGGTCTCCTTCGAACAGTTACGTCAAAATCCTCGAAACGCAAAGGGTACTGAGGCAATACAGCTAAAACGAATCAATTGAGCAAAGGTACAAATGCAGTACCACCGAGTGTGCCGAAGAAAGTCCACACAACATAGTACGTCGGAACGATTGTTGTCGCGTCTCCCCGAGCTAGACCCAAGTTCAGGAAGTGGATCTGAAACCAGATAGGGCAAGACGCAAAACCAATGTACAAGCCAGCTGCAGATGCTATATGCAGCTGCCCTAATGCATGCTGGTGCAGCATGCCGTGGTTTCTGTCTCTGGCGCTAAGTTGGTTAGCTCACCTGTAACCAGACGGAGAGGCCCAGGAAGCAACAGACCAAGTAGGGCTGTGGTGAGAACCAAATGGAAGCTTGGGTTAGGCCGTACTGAGTATACCCCCCAAGAGCCAAGCAAACACAACGGAAACGCAAGGGATGAGGCCAGTCATGGGTAGGAATGCGGGGATACAGAACAGAAAGAAACGCGACAGATACTACCATGTGAGCCCCATCGAGACTGGTGGTACACTTACGCGCGCACAGGTCCCGATTTCCTTAACCTCCAGAATGCATTGCGAGCCAACGAGACCAGCAAGGAAGCCATAGCAAAGGCCTGCGAAACAAAAATTCGTCGCGAATCCGCATCTGTTCAGACACAGGACTGCAGTGGGAAGGGCTGCCTTGTGCTGCCCCTCTCATAGACTAATCGCGACAATGCAAGCTCTGAGACGTTGAGAGCTGATAAGCTAGCGCACCGACTAAACGCGGATAGAGGGATTGTTTGGTTTGGCTTCTTGGACTAAGCATTGGAGCAGGGCTCATTTCCTTGGATTGGTGTTCTCTGCGATAGCATAGGCCACAGCCAGCAAAGGCACGAAAAGCCCCCTCGAAGTAGCTCGCTAGTGTGTGTTGCAGCTCTCTAGAGAAAACAGCACGCACCCTGAGTTTGCAGGACCTGATAGCTCTCTCAGCCAGAAGTGTGTTCGCTACTTACTGAGTGGGAGAGGTAGAATGTTGAAGGAGAGCGATGTCCCTGTCGGACTGTCTTAGAAGCTGCTGTTCCTTTTCTTCCAGCAGAGCAGACTCGACGCTGTTGAGATACACTAAAGCCCCAAACCCAAGGCCGCAGCAAACGCCCAAGAAGGCCAGATACCAGGGATCGCGCCAGCTGTATAGCCCAATGTAGCGGCTGTCCAAATCAGAGCCCAAGTCCACGAACTCCGTGCGGGGCAGAACAGACGCGCAGGCGCACAGGAATACCCCAAAGGCACAACCTCCCGTGAATAGCAGCTCTTGAAAGCCAAATGGCTCTTTCAACACAGTCTGCAAAACACAGGTGCATAGAGAAAGAGGAAGCATCCCACAGGCAACTCGAGACAGCGCGAACACTGGCGAGTAGTAGACGTCAAGGGAAAAGTACGAGTAGTAAACAACGACAACTAGCTACGCAACAAAGTGGCTAGCTAGTTGGCGAAGTGTCTGACTGTCGAGGAACCCACCGCCGACGCCACTGCATTGGCTATGAGACCAATCGAATTCATAGGGGATAAAACACTTGCGGGAGCAAAGCCCAAGGCCACTACGTGCATACAGGCCCCCACGACGTACGCTGTATTCGCATCAAAGAGCAGCAGAGAAATTCCAGTATTCACTTATCTCTGCAGTCTATCCCTCTCCGCCTCTATCGGAGCTCAGAGTGTGTCTCACTTCCAAGCAGCAGGAAGGGGGAGTGGCTAACGAAGCCGTGTTCAGTGGACAGTGTTTGCTACAAGATAACAACGAGTAAGGTGGGCTCACCAGCGAAGCCCCAGAGCCACTGCTGGTCGCACGACTGGCCCTGTAAGCTGTCTGCCTCCTCAACACTAAGTCCTAACTTCATGAGTGTGCTGCCCCCAGCCATCAGCAGCGAGCCAGAGAGCGTCAAGAAAACCCCGAGGTACAGACTCAGCCGCGGACTCAGCCTCAAAGATGCTTCCATGTCAGCAGCCCAAGCATACACTCCACTAAGCCGCCTGGAGGAGGCACCTTGGAGCTCAGGGTCCCCTTGTAGAGTCTCCTCCTCCTGCGTGTACCCTTGACTTGGTTTGAGGGGGGCCTCTTTTGCTTCAGAGGGTGCTGCGGCGGGGGACTCCTTTGCTTCAAACCACGCCTTCATAATATTTTCTTGTAAGGTCTCTGGGTTTGGAACTTCTGCTGCTGAGGGTGAGTTGGAGCTAAGAAGGAGCAGCAACAGCAGCAGCAAGACGGGCCCCCCCAACCGGCCGCTGCTCTTCCCCCTAAGCCAACGAAGCAGAGCCCCACCATGGCTTACAGAGGGGTGTACAGAAGTGCTGGCTGCCGCTCGCTGCTTATCATACTGAGTCAAAGTGGTGCTGCTGTTGGTTTTCTCCTGTGGATACCTCGTCGAGGCTGCCGTAGGCTTCCACTCGTGCAGCTCGATGGCGTCGGGCTCAGCCTTACTTTTACTGGTGCTGTTGCTGCATGGAAAAGTGCTGCTGGATCCGAGGCTGGCGATGGTCGTAAAGCAACGCGCGATTGTTCCTGGGCCCCTTGAGGAGCGGCCCTGTTGGTGTGTCGTCATGCTGAGCGGCTCGATGCCATGAGGCAGCAAAATACACCTCAGCTAAATCAACAGAATGACAGAGATATGCTGCCTTCTCTGCCTTCGGGTGTGTTGATGTTGTTGTTGTTGCCGCCGCCGGTACTGCTGTTTCTCCTGTTTTCCACCGCAGTGGCGCCTGCGCAGTTCCGTGACCGAGTATTGGGCCGCCAGCTGTGTCGGCTCGAGGGTTTGGGGGGCCTCGGTCTTCAAGCTCCTCCCTTTAGAGATGCAAGTTTAAGTGCATGCAAGGGGTGGCTAAAAATGAGCGTAGAGTGCGGCTGCTGCTCCAGGGCAGCGGAGCCTCAACGTGACCGCTAGGGGGGCACAGAACTTTGAGACAGTTGCAGCAATTGGTCTTTGACTCCGTGCTGACGGTTGCAATGAACAAACAATAAAAATATACTCCTTAATCTATTTATCTTCCGGAGTCTCTGTAATGGCAAACAGCAAGGGAGCCCCGAGCCCTGCCCACCGCTGTGCTGTACGCGCCGACGGCCGTAGCGGACAGCTGCCGACGGTGTCTTGAGTTTGGGAATCTGCTGTACAAAGGAATGAAATAAACTCAAATATACTTCCTTCAGAAGATTAATAGAACAAACATGAAACTCGAAAATGCCTTTGGCTTCTCGTGTCACAAAAATGGCAGCTACAATCGAAAAAGGGGCCGCCGTCTCGCGCGGCGAGACCGCCCACGGCAAGTTCTGCTACGCAAACCAATGGTCACCCAAGAAGGCCTGCTTCTATTGGTAAACATTTGCTTTGCTACGAATAGGTTGGCCCTCGCGTCTTCTTGTCTGGCCCGTCCAGCCATTGTAGGCCGAGGCTGTGGGCCCATCCCTGTCTCTGAAGTTTTGCTTTTGTTGAGACAGCGCAGAAGTCCGCTGTAACGCAACGAAACGGAGCCCACATGAGGCGCCTAGAGGAGAAATCGCTGCAGTATTTCATGTTAGATCTTCTTTGCTAATCACTTTGTAGGCACTAGTGTCCCTCGAGCAACTGAGCGAGAAGGTGATAAGCGGCCTGTCTTGGGGCAAGAGAGTTTTTGGAAGGGCCGCTGATTAAATATATAGTTAAATACTGCAGACACTTCAATAATTTTTTGACGGGGAAATGACACCCATTTCGACAGCAAAATAGAAGATAATTATGTAATGCCGCACAGTACTTCAACAAGAAACATAGGCTTTCGTCATGAGCAGCGGCTGCAAGTTAGTTTCTCCTACGCACCCTGCCTAGCATACAATGACGCTCATGTGCTCGTTAGAAGTCCAGCAAGCTGTTTATATGTATGTGGCGTCAAATTAACCAGGAAAACTAGTAGTAAAGGTGGCTCGGTGAGGATTAACGCGCCACAGATGATACTGGCTTATGTTTCTCCCCTACCTTGGAAGCGTATGTGAATGCTTCAACGGAATATGTAGTATTCGCTTGGTCATATGTGGGTTGCCTCTGTGCATGTGCGTTTCCATGTCTGGTGAGGTACCGGATTGCACAGAAGCGCAGAAGCAGAGCTGCAGCCTTTCCAGAATTCTGGTGAGCATAGGTTGTTTACTACATAATTGTGTCAAAGAGCCACTTTCCCTTCTGTTTATGCACTCGTGTTCGACCCAGCACAGCATGTAAATGCAACCCCCCCCCACTCCTGTATATGTGTTAAGGCGCAGTTATTCTATATCTAGGAGGACTAGGCGCATCTGGGTCTATTAGTAGCTGAAACAGAAGCACCGCTGCAAGCATCATTCGGTTACAGTGGATCCCGTTCTACGGCGCATGTGCTATAAGTTTGTATAGGATATTCGGCAGGGAAAGTTACTTCAGGTGTTCTTATAACGGTCAGCGGTCGAGTCTGCATAGAGTCAAAATATCGAAATATTCTGGAAAAAACAAAGTAGAATGACGGAAATACGTTCGCGCAAGTCTAAAACAAGGAAGCGAAGAAAATGTTCCGTGCATCTGTGCATTTTGCGCACAGTTTATAATCATCTGGTGCGCCAACAGGAAGAGACCAACACCTGCCGGCGAAAAGATACAGATGACCTCTTAAAAAAAGCGCGTAGTCACGTTGCTCATAAAACTAACTGCACTCTGTACAATAATTTTCAAAACGAATAGCTGCGGATGACGAATTGATGAGCAGCAGCCGCATGCATAGACCTGTTTGACAGCCACAGATACTGTAAAAAAGGTGATTGCTGCATTACAACCAAGATAGCGTGCACTTCGAATAAAATCGATACCCATTCTCAGACGTTGCACATGTCGTTTAAATCTGGAGAATATAGATTTTTGGCCGCACTAACTGGTTGGTGCAATTTCAACTGGTTGTTTTAATGGGCCGGCACAATGGCATGCTGTGTAGGGCGAAACAGCAACAACTAATCTCGAAATGGCTTATTCTGAATTTAGCAAGATGTAACCGTATTTACACTGCTTCGAAATTTACATGGATACATTTCCTTCGAAAGTTTATCGTAACCTATTATGTCATTGCAACGGTTGCACGAAGGCTTTCAAGGGGATACCCTCCTTCCACTGGAGCATCGATACTAATCCTAGTTTGTATGTGCATACTCTTAGCACCTATCACACGACCGCATATGGTGAATAGAGCAACCGGCTGACCTCCGATGCCTGGGTTCTTGCAGCACTCTCACTTTCGGAGTCCCCTTGTGACTACGGCTGGGTAGCATCAGCACTGCCTTGCGACGTGCGTAGCACAAAATAACCCTTTTCCATTTTGGTTGCTCAGGATGCATTGTTGTCTATCAAACACGTTTGGGCTCTGACGGTCTCAGGTGCTCAAAATAGCGCCCATCCGTGGAAATGCATCCTTCGCCTGATGTACCGGTGGAAGGTCATCATGAGGTCTCACTGATGCGTCTGAACAGACGCAACACAGCATTGGTTATCGTACTCGCTGGCTGTATTGAAAATGGTGGATGCCACTAGACCCCAGGTGAGTAACGGCCTATTCCATAGTTATGATGACAGCTTCGACTCATTCAATCCAGGTAACAAATGCACGAATTATAGGCAGGAGCCACATTTTGCACTGGTGCTTTTTTTGTCACCTGCAAACAGAGCTTTCTCAGCTATCTGAAGAGCTGGTGGTGGTTACATTTTGTCATGTTATGAAGATCCACTCTTTAGTAGTGTATGTAGACTGCTGCATTGTGAACGACTGCAGGAATGAAGGTAAGAAGCTTACGCGCTGTGCCAACGCGCATCCGAGGTCATGCGCTCTTTAGTGCTCCATGCAGTCTCCTGCACTATCAACCACGGTAGAAATTATGGTAAAACACTCAAGAGCTGGCACCGCACGCACACTTTTGACCATCTGAGCAGATGTAAAGCCTTTGATAACGCTGCTTGCATTCTCTATTCCAGCGGTGCGCACGACTAACTGCAACCTCATGTTCTTAAGTGGTCGCTACCATCCCGAAAATGTATCCCGAACCTCGTAGCCAACTACTCCTTTACGATATATATATAATATATATATATAT